TGAGGTCATTTCAGGCTAATGTGTTTTCCCCAAACATCACCTTGTTTAAAATATTTGACAGAGTTCCCTGTACTTTGAGAGACTTTGCAAAGACTCATATAAGGGCAATTTCTCCTTTCTCCTTATTCCAAGGAATAATTTTCTGGGGAAAAAACCCTCCCCACATATTTTGGTAAATATGTTCATTCCTCCTATATCTTTCTTCCCTTCTGTCCAATCAAGTACCAAGTCCTGTCTGGTTTTTTTCCATGATGTCTCTCTCGTCTCCTTCGCTTTCTATCCATACTAAGGTCACAGCCCTAGACCTGGCCCTTATTCACGTTAGAGAGACCACAAATTTCTTAGCAGAGACTGCTAGTTGTCCCCTAATATCTTCTTTCCCCTCCTTCCTTAGTAATAGAACCCCTACTTTTTAACTGAACACGTGATGGGCTGGAATAAAGATCACGACTCCCAGTCCTCCCTTCTTCCCTGCCAGGTGACTCCGTGCTGGCCAATGGGGTGGCCAATGGCATGCACAGCTCCTGAAAAGTGTCCTTACGGGCGGAAGGAGGGATGATCTCCTTGCCTTTTCCTTCCTGCTATCCAGAATGAGGCCATCCTGGCTGGAGACCCAACAGTCATTTTGAACCATGAGGCACCACGGAAATGGAAGCTGTGCTGCATGGTAAAAGCAACAAGGCACAGAAGCGTGGGCCCCTGACTCCACCCTCGCTTTGGACTCACTGCCTCCAGGCTTCCTGAACACAAGACAGAAATAAACTTCCTTCTTTAGGTCATTGTTATTTCAGTTTTTTCTGTAACTTGCAGTTGAACCTAATCCGAAGTAGTAGACCGTTGCTAAGTCTCTCCTGTTGAATCCTCTGGCACCAGTGCTGAATCCAGTCTTCCCAACACAATATCACACTTATTATGCTCCTGCTCAAAAACTGTCAGTGACTTCCACATGCCAATAGGATCAAATCTAGATTCCTTAGCTTAGCATTCAAAGCCTCATAATGTAGCCCTGTGTTATAATGCTAACCTCAACAATTTTCCCCACCCACCCTACTAACACACACACACACAATCATTAACCTTCCATTCCAGCTGGGTCGCTCCCTATAATCTTACTCTCTGCTGCTTGCATTGAGTTTATGACAACCGAGATACGGGGAAGGTAGTCACTGTCTTCCAAAATGAAGTGTGAGTGGAAACAACCTAAATGACCCTTAACAATAGGACAGATCCATTGTGGTGGAGTCAGACAATGAGATATTATACAGCAATAGAAAAGAATAGATTACTGCTTCATGCAATAACATCATAAATTTTCAAACATAATATAGAACAAAATTCAAAAATGGACAAAACTAATCTATAACCATAAGAATCAGGATAGTGTTTACACTTGGGGTGTCAGTGCAGAGGAGGCATGAGGGGACTCTGGAGCACTGGAAATGGTCTGCTAGTAATCAGCATGCTGCTTACACATTCACAAAAAATAATCCAGCTGCACCCCGGGTTTGTGCACTGTTCTGTGTGTGCACTTCAGTAAAAAGTTTACTTAAAAAACAGGCAAAACTAATGTATAGTGACAGAAGTTAGAACAGTCGTTACCTTGAGGGGAGGTGATAATTAATCGGGGTACAAGGCGGGGCTTCTGGGGTGCCTTCTGGGACGCAGTTACACGGCAGCATTCATTTTGTAAAATTCCATTGAACTATTCCCTTATGGCTTGTGCATCTTTTTATACGTTCTGTTGATAAAAAATGTACCTAACAAACAAAGCGTGCAGGACTGCCGCTGCCTCCATTGCTCTCAGATTGTGCCGCAGACAGAGGGGTTCACAGAGAGGGGACTGCCGCAGGGCAGGGATTGTGGCGAGAGTGTAACAGGTGTTCTCTCTTGAGGGGCCATTATGCACATTCTGGAAAAGGATGTTAATGAGAATGAGGCTGCACAGCTGGTCCTAATTTGGAACTCTTTCTCGCGCTCTGCAGTGGGCAGAATAATGGCCCCCCAAAGATGTCCATGTCCTAATGCCTAGAACCTGTGATTATGTTATGTTACATAGCAAAAGTATGGTTGCTAATCAGCTGACCTTAAAAATAATGATCCTAAATTATCCAGGTGAGCCCAATGTAATCACAAGGGTCCTTAAAAGCAGAAGCAGCAGCCAGTGGGAGAAGGACTCAGATTGACATTGTTGGCTTTGAAGATGGAAGAAGGCAATGAGACAAGCAATGAGGGAAGACTCTAGAAGCTGGAAAAGCAAGGAAACGAATTCTCCCCTACAGCCTCCAGAAGGAACACTAACATACTGCTAACACCTTGTTTTTAACCGAGTGAAAACCATTTCAGAGTTCTGACTTCTGGGACTGTAAGATAATAAACTAAGTTTGTGGTAACATATTACAGCGGGAATATGAATCTAATACAGACACTGGGAATCTCAGGGAGGTCAAATACCATTAGGTGGTGATTTTCTTAGAGGAGGCCTTGGGAATGAGAGCGTTCTTTTCATTTCCCTGGAAATGGATGAGAAGGAGCTAGAAAAATCAGCAAATGCTATTGATAGAGAAAAGGAGACCATTCTGAGGGGCTAGGGTCAAAAGTTGAGGGTTAATCAAGGAACAGGAGAAAGTCTGCAAAGTAGCAACTTCGGAATTGAGTTTGAGAAAACCCAGGGCCCACAAAAGATCTGACCTATAGCCTTGACCCTTCTGGTCTTGAGTTTCTCATCTGTAAGTCAAGTGAAAACAAACTCATCTAACTGGGAAGGTGCAGGGATACGCCCTAAACAAAAGTGAGCTTTACATTATTTTCTCTAATTTACATCATTTTCATCGTGATCTACATCATTTTCTCTAATAACTACTATGGTAGGCAGAATAAAGCCCCCTCAAAAGATGTCTATGGCCAAGAATCTGTGAATACGACAGCATACGCGGCAAAAGGGACTCTGCAGATGTGATTAAGTTAAGGACCTTGAGATGGAGAGAGTGTCCTCGATTATCCACAAGGGTCTTTATATGAAGAAGAAGAAAGGAGGGAGGGGAAGAAAAAGGGGGTTCGGGGGAGGGGAGGGGGACGTTGGAACATGCTATACTTTGAAGATGCAACAAGGGACTAGGAACCAAGAAACAAAGGCAGCGTTTAGAAGCCAGAAAAGGCAAGAGAACAGATTTTTTCCCGAGAGCCTCCACAAGGAGCCTTGCTGACACTGATTTTAGCCCAGCGAGACCTATTTCAGACTTCTGACCTCCAGAACTGCAAAATTATAGATCTGTTTTGTTTTAAGTGCTAATTTTGTGGTAATTTGTTACATCAGCAATAGGAAACTAATACAACAACCCAAAATAGTAATGGGGTATTCCAATGGGAATAAGCCACACTCTCCCACAGTAGATAAAGTTCCTCTGACAATACTCTTAGAAGAACTTTCCAAAAATGTTAGCTAGTCCACCTGCTCAGCCACTGACTTTACATGCAGATATTTTGGTAAAAATTTCAGTTTCAACCAACTCATTCTGAGCATTACTACATCCTACACACTAGTGGATTAATTCACACTAATTATCTCATTTAACCCTTAAAACAACCCCATGACATAGATAGTATCATGCCCATTTGATGAATAAGATAACCGAGACTCAGATAATAATAACAATAAGTATAGCTAATAAATATTAGTGCTTACTCTGAGCCAGGCACTAAGTACTAAGTACTTAGCAGTACTAAGCACTTCACGTGTGTTAACTAATTTAACTCTCCCAACAATCCTATTCCCCATTTATAGATGAGAAAACTGAGGCACAGAGAGTCTGCGTAACTTTAAAGGTGGTGAGGGGCAGGGCTGGGACTGGAACCCAGGTCCTTCAGGTGCCAAGATCAGCGTGCTCTGCGTTGTACCCTCACCACTCCTCATCAGTCATCATCATTACCACCAATTACTGATAACAGCGAGGCCTCTGGAATCCAGCCCAGCCCTGCCTTTCTCTCTGAGCCCCACTCAGGGTCCTGCAGGGTGAGGCAGTGGCGGCTGTCTGCCGAGGCACACGGCAGGGTTCAAGGATGACCTCATGGGCTGGAGCTCCAAGTGGCAACTGGTTCCTTGGCAGGGCCTCCCTGGCACCGTTTACTAGCAACAGTGACGACACGCTCCACTCTCAACTCGGTGCTTCAGCCTCCCTCTTCCCCTGACCCTCCTGAGTTATTCCCACATGCACACTAAACAGGGGAGCCCTCCTGGGCATCCCTAAAGAGGGCGAGTCCCAGGAAAAGGTGCTCTCAAACACACGTGCTACAGAGCAGAGAGCAGCGAGTCCCGGGAAAGACTGGAGGCTCTCTCGCCCACTTGGCTGGTTTTAAACTCAAGTGCTCACCCCTGAGTTCTGGCATGTGCTCTCTCACTGCCGCCCAGCTTCATGTATTTACATCCATCACACCTTCTTCAGCCTGCTTTTCCTGAGGCCTGAGCCTGTCTCTACCCCTTTCTCTATTCCCACCCCTGCCTCACCCCTTGCCTTCTCTTAGACACAAACCAGAGCTGTTTCTAGGCAAACTGCAGGATTTCTTTCTAGACCCTCCAAGGACCCTCTTATTCCTTCTCTATCTTTCAAGGAACAATCATCTATTTCCTTTTCTTTAAATCTTATGCCTCATTTCAACTACCTCTTGCTGAACAGAGATATATGGTGTTTGCTGATGAGACCTTAGGGCATGACAACCATCGCAGGCTATTCCAGAGGTGACTCTGCTACGGCAACTCCAGCGAGTGAGCTCAGGCCTGGGTGGCTCCACGTTGCCTGGGCCTGGACTCCAGGAGCAAGGAATCTTGGAGCCCTGATTTGTAGAAAAGAGAGGCCTGGCAACCAGGGGGGGTGAGACTGAACTCTATTACAGGAATAGAAGTATGGACACATAGGCAAATAGAAGGGGAGGAGCCACAAGCATCCGCCTTCTCAACTGGGGCCTCTGCAGGCAAGCTTCAGGAGCTGAGAGGAAACTTTACCGACCACAAACCCATCCTGACATGGTTCCATGAGGCTGCCCTTTGAAAGCAGGTGGGGAGAAGTGTGCAGCCGTGGATTCCTGAAAGGGAAACTCCAGTTAGATACATGTGGAATTCTGCATCCTCACCAACTCAGGAAGAAGCTCTCTTCCCGAGTTGGGAGGAGGTGATTGCTCATAGGAACTCCTTGCTTTTTCTAGAAAGACAGGTGATAGAGCTCAGCACCTAATCTAAGGTTGTGCCTAGAACTGTTCTAAGGACTTTTCTTGTAATATCTCATTTAATCCTCACAGCCCTGTAGGTATTACCATCCCCATTAGACAGATGAGGAAACAGGCATAGAGTAGCTGGGTAATGCCAAGGTTACCAAGCTAGAAGCTTCACAGCCAGGGTTTGAACCAAGGCAAGCCAATCGCAGAGTCTCTGCTCTTGACCGTGGCACCCTGCCGCCTCTTGACTGTCTCGACTGCCCCACTCCTGGAAGGCGGGCTAAATGCGCTTGGGGCAGATGCATCCTTGCTCCCTGATTTACCACAGTTTGGAAATGGTCACTTGGGTTCCTTAGGAGCTACCTTTCTGTGCGTCCAGTTCTGGAGACCTTAAGGAGAGAGGATCCCTGTTTTTCTGTTCTCTCCCCGAACTGTGCTCGGGGGTTTCTAGTAACTACCACAAAATACCCCCCCCCCCCCCCCCACCTTTCTCTCCTTTCTCCACAACGTAGGGAAGCTGGAGCTTTAGCTGCCGTAGAGAACCAAGAACAAAATCCAGATACGTGGGCATTAGGATACCAGCAGACCAAGAAGAAGGATCGGAATCAATCTGCTTGCCCGTTGAATAGGAACCACGCTGGATACCCGCTCAACAAGTCTCCCTTTCCCAGGTCGGTGAAGACCGGGTGTGGGCGGCCCTGTGGCGGGGCACAGCGCCCCCACGGGGCACTCGGGGTGGCCGCCGCGCTGTGCGCCCCGCGCAGGGAGCGCGCCCACCTCGCCCGGCGGGGGTGGCCTGACTTCTCCCGGCGGTGGGGTCCGGGCAGCGCCGCGCACCCTCTCCCGCTCTCCCCAGAGGGGTCGGGAGAGACGGGCCCCCGGGGCGGGAGGGTACGCCCGGCGATCGGGGCCCGCGGAGCCGCAAGGGTTGGGGCGCAGGCCTGGCAGAGCGCCCGCGTGCGTCGGTTAGCCCAAGCTCTCTCTGTCTGTCTGTCTATCGGTCAGTTGGTCGGTCGGTCTGCGCCTCTGGGCAGCGGGGCCGTGCAGAGCCCCAGGGGCAGCGCGCCCCGCTCACCTGCAGCCGCCGGCGCCGGCGCCTGGGAAGCAAGGCAGGGGCGCAGCCACCCGGGTCTTCCTCGGTGGCCTCCTCGCGGCTCCAAGAGCCGTGGCTCTCCTCGGGGATCGCTCGTGGGAGCCGGGGAAGAAGCCCGAGCCGCTGCCGCTGTCTCCTCCTTCGCCGCCGCCTCCAAGTCCCATCCCAGAGCGCTCCCCTCGTTCGCTGGCTGCCTGGGAGGCTCTGGGCCAGGGCGGGCGGGCGGCGGGGGGAGGCGGCGCCGCGGCGAGGGTGGGGAGCCGGCCGGCGGAAGGAGGGGTGTCCTCTTTGGGGGTGGGGAGGGCGCGGAGAGGGAGTGGCCCCACCCTGCAGGCAGCCCCGGGACCGGGGCACCCTGGCCAGGTGCCCTGCCTCTGCCACCTCGCTCCACTTGATAGGTCTGCAAACCCAGGCAGGGGTCGGATTCCAGGGATCTGGAGCCTCAGGTTCAGAAAAACAAGGAGATTTGAGGGCTTGGCGGAGGGGTGGGGAGGGGGAGAAGAGCATCTCCTGGGGGAAGGGAGGCGTGACAGGGGTCCTATATCCTGAACTTGGGGTCATGATCTGCAGGAGGCACCCATCAATGACGATGATGAAGAAATAAGTGGTGAGAATTGGGATAATTGGTGACAAGTGCCAGGAGCTGACTTGGCAGTGCCCAGAACACCCCACCAGTGCCAATTCATATTAACAGAGCGCCCACTGGCCAGGTACCAGGCCCTGGGTTGGGGACGGAAACAAGATTCCTACCCTGAAGGAGCAGAGAAAGTCTAGTTCAGACAAGACTTTTGAAATTATGGGCAGAGACATTTGCAGTTTTGTCAAGAGGGAGAACATGACCTTAGAGGTCCCCAAGGAACTTTGGAGGAATGCAGAAGACAGGATTGGTCAGTGGCAGGAAAAGGGCCTGGCATGCCACTCTACCAGCTCTCCCTGCTCCTGGCCAGCCGGGCTGAGTGAGCTCTGTACAACAGGCCAGGACATCTCCTAATAATGGCTCCAAAATTCTATCCCCAAACCACTAACCCAAAGCATCCAGTTCAGGTTTTAACAAGCTAAGGAGGAGAGGCAGCAGAACGAAGGAGTTTCAAAATCTCTGGATGTGCCAGAGTCTGATCATTTAAGTGCTTTTGACAGCCTTTACTCCTAACCATCACTCCTATTGGATGTTAGAGTTGGTTTTTGAAATACGAATGAACACCATGTACAGTATCAGTTCTTCAGAAAAGCTCCAGGAGTGAGTAATTAAAATTCCAGCCATGAAGCAAGGGGTTAACATATTCAAGCCATCAGGGCAACTCGTGGTACCATAATGCCACAAAAGAATCTTGGGTTCATGTTCCCTTGTTCTCTTACTCTGCACCTTAGTCCCACTGGGCTGTCTTGGCCGCCTGCACTGATCAGAAATAGTTTCTTTGTATGTCTTTGGGAGGAGGTAGGTGGAGGTCAGAAAGCAGAGGAAAGTCTTCAGGAAATGTCTAGTCTCTGAAGTCTTGGATTCCACAAATGAAAATTCTTCCTGAGTCTGGGCCAGTGAAAATCCCCTAGGAGCTGGGGAAGTTGAGTTGCATTTTATGGAAACTTACACTTAAAATGTGTTGCCTTATTCCAAGACACCAGTATGATCCAGTAATTTACCAGGAAAACAATAGCAATTCCAAAATCTTTCCAAATTTTAAGAAATTGTAATTTAGTAACTGATTCCAGTGACTCTGGTGTATGCCAACTAAAATGAGTGTTTCTCCCCAGGGAGTTCTAGCAGGCTTCTTCAGAGTAGGAAATCTCGGCAGGAAGCGTGCCTGAGGCCACGTCAAATAGGTCAATAAGCTGTTCTACCTGTGGAATGATCTTCAGGTCTGCTAGAAAAAAAATGAAGCAAAAGTGAGCTCAATGTCCTGAAATATCAAGTCAGAAAAAACAATGCCTTAATTTCCTGGTTATCTTTGGGTGATTGCAAACTGATAATAACAAAGGCTGCTGGGGAAAGCCTAAATTTGCCTTTTCCACCATAGGCCCTGCTACTGCCTTAGTATACAATTTTATGCAAAAGTGTGAGGTTAGAATTTTCAGTTCTCATGTGGGCCCTCAGGCAAGCAGACAAGAATTAGGGTGTGTAGTATCTGAGAGTTGGAGAGTTAGTTGGAATTTATAACTTCAGTTACACCTTGGTAGCTAGGCTAGGTTCAACTCTCAGTTCTCTACCATCACATGGGGTCTATTGTGGAGTAAGGATTTGGGAGTGGGGGTCGGGGGAGTCATTTGATCCAGGCCTCACATTCATGAATAGCCTCAAATATAGACTTTTGACATAAGCATTCATTTTTTCCTTGTAAACGTTAGAACTTTTGTTTTGTTTTGTTTTGCATTAGAGTCTTTCTTATTTGGGACTTAGTTGTCTGGCCTAGAGGGCAGATTGAAATGAGACTATCAACTAGAAAGGGGACCAGTGTATAAGGAAACCAAAGAACAGACAGGTTGGCTCACAGACCCATAGCCTAAAGTAAACCTTGTACTGAATGGGCGATAAACTGTTGGAGCTCCCTCTCCTCTCACTCAAGTAGAAAGGCAAGATGTCCCACCTGGGAGAGGAGACATCACCCCTTTGGGCCAGCTGCCAATTGGTTGGAACTGGAGATATGGGGTTGAGAGGGGAGCATTGAAAGGCAGTGACTGGATTTCCACACCAGTGCAGGGTAGGGAACCCTCCTATCTGGAGCAGTACTCCCTTCTGGATGCCTCATCAGCATGGACACCTGGTTCCATGTCCAGAAAGTCCCCTTGAGGAGAGGCTGGCTGATGGCATCATTTCCCAGGAGAAATGATTTCTAAATAAACGTACCATCCCACCTGGAAAAGACAGGATGAAGCTGATCAGGAAAAATCTAGAGCAAGTCAAAAATTTGTTCAGGAAAACAATGTGCAATTCAAAGAGGACTCAAATGTTTTTATGTATTCTTGAACTTGGACCATTCGTTCCTGAGGGCAGGGACCAGGCCTTCTGCTTGTCGATAGATTTTGCCATGCTGTGGAAGGGACTGGGTGGCTGTTGCTTTAACCTAGAATTTAGAGCCTTGTAGTGTTTGTGGAACCAGGTTGATGAGGCTACCTATTAAGAATGAGATCATAGGATGGCATGGGGAGCTTTAAGGCATAGGCAAAAGTTACTGGAAGTCACACTTGTTTTCTTGGATATTGGCAAGGCTGAAACACTGCCCGTCTCCCTAGAGACTAGTTTCCACTTTTGAAGTAGAGGATGGATCTGCTGTGTGTGGAATCATCGCTCAGCAACACAGATTGCTGGTTCTTTTATCCCTAAACCTAGGAATTGGCGCAAAGTGGTCTTTCATTAGAAGACAATAGCCTCATTCCTGTGACACTCAGCTAACTATCTTCTCACAATGCCATTAATGAGTCTATGTCTGCATTGGTTGCCCGGTGTTAAATCAGATTGCAAGATACTTAGGCAATGAGTATGTGTATGTGTCCTACAAATCCTCCAGTCTGTTGGCAGAGCTCAATAAATGGTGACTCAAGAATAACAAAAATACCAGAAGTCAGGACTTTTCTACTTTCTTGCTGAAGAAAATAACTGGGACATTGTTATTATGAGGGTCCAACAGAAGGGGAAACACTACAGATGGTCCAGTGGAAAGAATAAGGCAACGAAATGCTGAGAGCCACAATAAATCGTAAGATGGAGAAAAATGAGATGTAGCGCAATAAAAAGAATAATTTCATTGGTAGAGCAGTCTCTGAAAAGAAGCAATGGAAATGTCTCGACTCATTTGAAACAAGAATTGACAAAGCAATTCCCAAGTATGGAAACTGCCAGAACATTACTGGCTACATGTACACTATCTGTGAACAAAAAGATGTTGAGAAGAGGATGCAGTAGCCAAAGTTTTAAAGAGTTGAAAGTTTCTTTTAGTTAGAGCAAAATTTCTAAGACAGCTCCACATCCCTGGCCAGGCCTAAGGAGAGGGCCCTGAATAGCACTGCTTCGCCTTTACCTCCACCCTATGTGTGGGACAGAATTTTTGAAAATCAATGAATGTAATACACCATATCAATAGAATAAAGGACAAAAACCACATGATCTTCTCAAGAGGTGCAAAAAAGCATTTGACAAAATTCAACACTCCGTGATAGAAACACTCAACAAACTAAAGTATAAGGGGACTTCCTCAAACTAATAAAGGGCATCTGCAAAAAACCCACAACTAACATCATACTAAGGGTAGAAGACTGAGAGCTTTCCCTCTAGGATCAGGAACAGGACAAAAATGTCCTCTCTCAACACTTCTGTTCAATATTGTACTAGAAGTTCTAGCCAAGACAAGAAAATGAAATAAAAGGCATCCAGATTGGAAAGAAAGAAGTAAAACTCTCTCTATCTGCAGAAGACATGATCTAGTAGATAGTAATCCTATGGAAACCACTAAAAAAACTATTAGCACTCCTAAATTATTTCAGCAAGGTTGCAGGATACAAGATCAATAGACAAAAATCAGTTATATTTCTCTACAATCTGAAAATGAAATTAAGAAAATAATTCCATTGACAATAGTATCAAGTAGAATAAATCACTTAGAAATAAATTTAATGAAAGAAATACAAACCCTATACTTTAAAAACTACAAAACATTGTTGAAAGAAATTGAAGGAGATCTAAAAAAATGGAAAGATCTAAACAAATAGAAAGATTGGAAGACTTAATCTTGTTGAGATGGCAATACTCCCTTAACTGATCTACAGAATCCACACAATGCCTATCAAAATCCCAGCTGACTTCTTTGCAGAGATTAACAAGCTGATGCTAAAGTTCATATGGAAATTCAAGGGGCCCAGAGTAGCCAAAACAATCTTGAAAAAGAAGAACAAAGTTGGAGGACTCACACTTCCTAATTTCAAAACTTACTACAAAACTACAGTAATCAAGACCGTGTGGTACCTACATAAAGATAGACACATAATTCAATGAAATAGGATGGAGAGATCAGAAATAAGCCTTCACGTTTAGAGTTAATTGATTTTCAACAAAGGTGCTAAGACCATCCAACGGTGGAAAGAATTTCAACAAGTGGTGCTGGGACAACTAGATAGACACATGGAAAAGAACTCGGTTGGATCCTCACCTCATACCATATGCAAAAATTAACTCAAAATAGATCAAAGGCCTAAATGTAAGAGCTAAGGCTATTGAACTCTTAGAAGAAAATATAGA